GCTTATCATTCATTGATAATATTCTAATGACTTTCGCCTCTTTCTCTTCAATCATCTTCTCTTCACTTTTAAACTTTGCCTTAAGATTAGCAGAGAATATGAGTTAATAATAGAAATCAATGTAATCATAGCTAAGAATGAATGTAATTACAGGCGACGGCTTTTCGACACCTCGAAGCAGATCCAACTCGAACTCGAAAACCGATTGAAACAACTCTAAGTCCTTACTAGTGGTGCCGGGAATCGATTCAACGAGCGCCTGACCATCGGACGAGTCCTCGCTTTCAGCCTCGGAATGAATGCGAAGTAACTCTGCCTCCAATTGATCCACTACTGAGCACTTTTTAGTTGACTCGACGGTAAAGACTGTCATATTTCCCAAGTTATCAGTGGCTGCGATGGTCTGTCCGTCCGGACTAAAAGTGCACTGAAGAAGGAGCGGACGGATGTTATCATAAGATTCCAAAAGACTATTGCCTTTCAAGTTGTTGACAGCAATACTGCAATCAAACTAAAAGAGTAGAAAAAATTTTAATTTTCTAAAACCAATTCAAATATGGATTATTTGATTACATGTTTAATGACATCTTTAGTGAGAATATCGTAGACAAAGATATTGGAGTCATAACCGGCCGACAGACAGATGTGATCGCATTGCGGGTGACATTCAATGACTGATATCTTGTCGGTGTGTTTGTCTTTGAAATGTGCGACCAGTTCTCCCGACTCTGAGTTCCACACTTTCATCGAGTTGTCCGACAAAATCATTATCAAGTATTTGTCGTCACAACTGAACGTGAATTCGTCCACAAATACCGACGAATCCAATGATTTCTTGGATTTGCCTTCATTTCAAACATTAGAAACTAACATTTCATGAGACAAAGTGTCGTCACAAACCTCTTAAGATCTTCTTATTGTCTTTAGCGTTGATGTCAATGATAATTGAATCCCATTTTTTGTTTCCCTTATCGAAACTCCAAACAAAGACATTCGAGTCTTTATCACATCCCGAAGCAAACCTTTAATTCAAAATGTAATCATAAGTCAAACATTAATGTCTGTCATCTTAAGTGCAGACCTGAATGTGTTGTGTGAGAAGGCGAAGGAATACTCGCACTCCGCGTGTGTCTTGTGTTGAGTGTATTTCCACTCCTCTTTGATTGAGTCGTCGCTTATATTAATGATACGAATGGCCGACTGAATCGTCTTCTTATTGGACGGAATCTTCTTAGACTTAGGTCTCGAGACCTCCATCGGTATACCAAACGTGTGGACAACGCCTAACAGTAGGCCTCCCGTCGAGAAATCACAGCAAATATTAACGGCTCTCTCGTTATCGTATTTAGTCTTTCGGTGGACAGAGTTTGGCGTGAATTCAAG